TACTTAGATTAAGAATCAAACCTGGGTCCTCTGCAAAAGCAGCCAGTGCTCTTAAATGCTGAATCATCTCTTCAGCCTCAGCTTTATCAACATTTTTGTAAAGTTGGTGAAGAATCATATTTTAAACAGTAGCCCCACTAGCCTTCTACCAGACTACATAGCATTTATTTAAAGTTAATTTTACATTGATTATATTTGAAAATATTTGTTTTGTGAATAACAATTATGTAAATATTTTGGGCATATAAACAGTCTTTTTAACTTCTTCCTGGTAGAATAAATCCGCCAATATTTCTCTCCAGATTTACATAAAATTGGTCAAGCTAAATGTTTTGCGCACATTTATTGACCTACAGCCTAGAAACATTCTACATGATAGTAAATAAACATAGTCTTCCAAATTTGTGCACAGAAAGACATTTCCATTCCTAAGGTGACGGTATCCTGAGCCTTTAAGGAAAAGCTGCTTGTCATTCACTTTGCTCAAATAGACCCCCAGTCTCCTCTAAATAATCATGAACAAGAACAAGAAATGAATCTGGTTTCAAGCCACTGGAAATGTTTACTGTTCCCTTATAAAGCAAGCACACACTCCTTCCCCTTTCCACCCCTTTTCACCTGTAGTAATGTAAGATGTGGTGCTGAATTTTAACATTCTTGCAGTGACATTTAATATTACACATCACAGTCTCATATTATGCTTGACAGTGGACTTTGTGTTTCCCTTCACAGAATTTGCATATTGTGTTTTCAAGTTGTATTTTAAGCATGAGTGCTCTTAGAAACAGAGTAGTTAATTGGGTTGACAATGCTTGGTTGTCAGGAACAATTTTCGATGTGATTTTCTTGCCAATAAATACATGATTATTTCAAGACTGCTTGGAGGGCACAAGTAGACAGTCCTTCATCAAGTAAATGGTGGTAAAGATCTCATCTTGTTCTGAGAGTGCTTAATTGGACACACGTGTAATACCCAAGGTGCAGTGAAAAGATAAGATAGCAGTTAGAGCCTGCAAGGTGGATAAATTCTTTCAATAATGATTATATTGCCTCTTCTGCTTTTCCTGGTACCTTCATATCTTTTACTCTTTCTCCTTAGCATCTGTAGGTATCTTTATAGATCTATGAGGCATTTTCTTGGGATATGCTATCTCTGGTTCTCAATGTGAATATACTTGGCAGAAAATAAACCAATGTTACCTATGAATAATCAGTTGATAATAATCTGTGCAAATGTTATTAGAATTAGAAGTGACATGTGTTTGCATTTAACATGCCCTTTTGTCTAGTTATCTAAGTATCTTGAGAAATTCTTATTGATTATCTGTTTGTGTAAAATAATGTGGAAATTTCCTTGGGCTTTGCCTCTTCCCCTGCTGATGCTGACATAGTCATACAATATTTTCAATATTCTTTTTTAAAATTTTAATTTATTTTTATTTTATATGTATGCGTGTATTGCTGGCATGTAGGTAAGTGCACCTATGTTGTGCCCAAGGAGGTCAGAAAAAGCTGTCCGATCCCCTGGGACTGGAGTTACAGACAGTTGTTAGTTGCCATGTGAGTGCTGGGATTCAAACCTGGGTCTTCTGCAAGAGCAACCACTGTTCTTAACTGCTGAGCCATCTCTCCAGACCCAATATTTTCAATATTCTCATCTACAAACTAATTTCTCCTTTGCTGAACAAAATTCACTCAAGAGTAAGCCAATAAATTAGGGAACATTGAGGAAATTCATTCAAGAGTAAGCCAATAAATTAAAGGACACAAACTATGGACAGCAACTACCTGAGCCATTAAATTAATTAAACCATTAAACTAATGGCTTCATTAGTGCCAGTGCAAAGATTTTACACTTTCAAATACAATAAAACATATGTAAAAAGTTGTTCACATATGTGTGATATACTTTATATTTAATGAAGAACATAAAATGGACAATGTAAACTTCTGTGAGCGTCCTTATGTAGCATAATACCACGTACAATGAATATGTGCATTATTTTTTTATTTAAAAATTTAAGACTATAGTATCAAAGTAAGAATATTTTTATTTTTCTTTCAAGCTGGATTTACAATAACTGCTGTCATTAAAAATAAGTTATTTAAGAAACTACTGTCATTGGGTGTTGTGTGCCTATCTCCTCTGAACTGAAGCATTCCCTTCCTAGTGGAAGAGAGAGAAGTATAAGGCTCAGGAAACTAATGAAACTTGATGAGGAAGCTCAAAAAGTTACAAACTACAAGATTTCTGCTCAAGGCTATATAAGCAGTAAGCAATCATTAGAGAAGAGGAAGCTGTCTTCTGTGGACTTGCCTTCACATTGGGCAGGGAGATCCAGGGACGTAGTTGGGGTGAGCTGTGTAGTAACACAGTTGCCTGTGAGTCATCTGTGCTCTTATAAAAAATTCTAATAAACTCGTTGGTTCACCACATTAGACTTGAGTGGAATTATTTCTTTGGTCTGTATTGTTGCTCCCTCCCGAGTTTGTAGATGTTCATCCATGTCTTCCCAAGAAAGTCATGCAACATCAACCACCAAGTCATTGCAATAGGGTCAATCAACACTGTGAAAGTTTTCTATAAAACTGTTCTTTTGGTTTTCTTTTAAGAATAAAATGCTTAACATCATTTAATTAGTCTAAACTCATAATATCAAGCATGGAAAACAATAATAGAAATTCTCCTGAGTTACCTTTGGATTTAAATTCTGAGATAGTACAAGACAGTTATGTTTTAAAATTCTGACCTAATGTCATGGAGTTTACCCCTGATCATAGCATAAATATATCTTTCTATACTGTGCTTGTGGTGGAAAATGGGATAATTTTTTTCAGGCACAGTGGAGAAAGGAAGCTGAAATCAAAGATGCATTGAATTAATTCTAGAGTTTTATGCATGCTACTATTTTTTCTTACTGAGGTGCAACTTTAGTTTTATAACCCCTATATGAAATATTCTGCAAATCTCTAGGAAAACATCAAGAGTTTTGTGGGGAAATAATTGAAGACAAATTAGAAATAAGATTAAAATGTCATTATGTATTATATGCCAACACTGAGAAAACTCACAGTCTTTTACAGTTTAAAAAATGTTGACATCAATACCCCAGGAAATCTATTTTACCAAATACATTTTAAGTCCCTTGTAGCATTTTATATATGAATCTCATAAAATAATATTTTATATATGTCAAATATCTAGTATTTATTTTAAATGAACATGTGATTAGTTAGCACAGTATTACAAAGAATTCTCTCTTCTACTTATAACTCTATTTTGCCATTTGTAAGGAAAATAACCATCAAATTTTAAACATCTTTCTTATTAAATAAACTTAAACACTTACAGACTTAAATGTTTAAATATTGTAAGTGCATTTCTTCTTATGTAAATTAACAATTGTTTTGAAGAGAAGAAAGTATCTAAACCTAAAGTTCTAAAATCTAGACTCTATCATAAGACTAAATGTCAGGAGAACTGGGTCTGAAATCAAATTGGTTTTGTAATTCATTCAAGGTGTGAACTTTGCAAATCACTTGACCTTCCTGTCTCCGTTTTATCTGAGCCACAAGGTGAATCCTTTGGCCTAGTTTAATGGTTTTCACATTTTTGTAGCAGAAACCTCTTGCAGACAAAATTTTTGTTTTGTTTTGTTTGGTTTGGTCTTTGTGAGACAGGGTCTCCCTGTAGCCCCAGCTGTCCTGGAACTCATTGTGTAGACCAGGCTGGCCTTGAACTCACAGAGATCCACCTGCCTCTGCCTCCCAAGTTCTGGGATTAAAGGCGTGCATTTATGTATAATCTCCACATGACAAATAATATGTAAAAATACTACATCTTTTCTTACAGAAGCTGTAGTGAGGAAACAGGGCAGCAGTGTGTGTGTGTGTGTGTGTGTGTGTGTGTGTGTGTGTGTGTGTGTAAGGATCTTACCTCTCAGAACTTGTTGAAGACAAAGATCATCCAATACGTCCTCAGGTCCATGGAACACATTTTGAAAATCATGTAATTATGTGAGCTCTATATTTACTCACATTTCTAAAATGTATTATCAATCTAATATGTTGGAATTTGTAAACAATTTGAAAATGTTATGACATCTTAGAAAAGTGAAATATAAAAGAAATGTAAGGTTTTGTATCACTTCTAAGAAATATTCCAGGGTTAAAAAAAAAATACACTTCATACTAAAACCATTGACTTCAGTGCCCTAAAATAATTTTATAATACCGAATAATTCCTATTTAGGAAATAAATGAATTGATAGAACTCAAAGTCATCCTTCAACAAAAGGATCAGAAAATTGGAAAAGTCTTTGACTTGAAACTAAATCCCCCTACTCATCTCTGTAGTTCACTGAGGAAATGAAGGGTGAGGGTTTAATTTGATGGTAGCATGGGTTTAATCGAAGACTTTTGATTTCTTAGTGCTGGTTACCAGGAGGCCACACTTTAAATTCTATCAGCAGCACACTATACAACCATTAGACCTTTACAGTCACAGACTGCAACAATAAAAAATGAGGTGAGAGAGAGCATTTTCTGCAAAACAGTTAATTGCCCAGGAAAAGAAAAGCCTGCAGGAGAAGTCTTTCATGAGGGGTTATTTTCTTTACCATTTACTAAAATGGAGTTCAGGATTGTGAGACAAGAGTAATGGGTTTCACCGTGACTTAGTTTCTGATGCCCTTTATAAGCAAGGATTTCTTCCCACCTGAAATAAAGGAAATGAATCAAAGCAAACTTTTAGTAATCCCAGAAGGACCCAAAGTGAAATTGCCCCGGTAGTTCCCTTATATAGACACTGTGACACAGTTCCCTCTTGTAAAAGTGCTTAGGGAAGATTATTATCTTGCCGTCGTCTCATACAGAGACCTACTTTATGAGACGTCGGGGAAGTTAATGCACTAGTCTAGAGTCGTGTTTCTGAAATGGGAATAATGTGTCACTTTCTTCCCTTAGCCCTGTTAACTCTTGTGTTGTTTGGTTGCTTTTAGGTCCCTGGGGACGGTGTATGGGAGATGACTGTGGACCAGGTGGCATCCAAACCCGGGCTGTGTGGTGTGCTCACGTGGAAGGCTGGACCACACTGCACACGAACTGCAAGCAGGCAGGGAGACCCAGTAACCAGCAAAACTGTTTCAAAGTGTGTGACTGGCACAAAGAGTTGTATGACTGGAGTCTGGGCCCCTGGAATCAGTGTCAGCCGGTAATTTCCAAAAGCCTGGAGAAACCTCGGGAGTGTGTTAAGGGGGAGGAAGGCATCCAGGTGAGAGAGATAACGTGCATCCAGAAAGACAAGGACATTCCTGCGGACGACATCATCTGCGAATACTTTGAGCCGAAGCCCCTCCTGGAACAGGCCTGCCTCATTCCTTGCCAGCAAGACTGCATCGTGTCTGAGTTTTCTGCCTGGTCAGAGTGTTCCAAGACCTGCGGCAGTGGGCTGCAGCACCGCACTCGGCACGTGGTGGCACCGCCGCAGTTCGGAGGCTCAGGCTGTCCCAACCTGACGGAGTTCCAGGTGTGCCAGTCCAGCCCGTGCCAGGCTGAGGAGAGCTTGTACAGCTTGCAGGTGGGGCCCTGGAGCGCATGCTCAGTGCCGCACTCGCGACAAGCGAGGCAAGCCCGGCGACGCGGAAAGAATAAGGAGCGGGAGAAGGAACGAGGCAAAGCTGTGAAAGACCCAGAGGCCCGTGAGCTCATCAAGAAGAAGAGAAACAAAAACAGACAGAACAGACAGGAGAACAGATACTGGGATATCGAGATTGGATATCAGACCAGGGAGGTGATGTGCACTAACAAGACCCGGAAAGCTGCAGACCTGAGGTAACCTTTATTCCTGGTGACAACCCGTTTGTCAAGACCGTAGGGACTTGGACTCACTGTGCCACCTCCGGGAAACTCCCGCCAAGTGTGCATTAGTTCAAGGCTTTGGAGCTTTTGTGGGTCTCTCAGTAATGTTTTTATTTTCGAGTTGTGATCAGAATTCAGTCTAGGGATGAGGTTGCGTTGGTTTTCTCGGTCAATTAAAGAAAGGCAGGAAGCATCTCAGACCAGCAATGAGCAAGAAACAAACTTTTATTGAAAGATAACGAATCACACATCCATAAACGCATTCAACACTGAGGCTCTCCATAAGTGGAGTGAGGGATCCAAAACCGAGACTCCACCTCTCTGGGGGCGGATCTGAGTTTTAAGGGCTTCAGTAGTTCTTTTCCTCTAACAAAAAGAAGAGAAGGCTGATCAGTTTGTGCCTTCAAATGATGAGGTGTACAGATCTGGCCCAGTCTTATCTGAACTGGTTTGGACCAGCTGGTCTGAAAGAGAGCCCTACTCGCTGAAGGGAAAAGCCCCAGACCTCAGTCTCAGGACAAAAAACGAACAGAAGTATGTCACCTTTGTTGTTCCTTGGTGGCCCTATTGTTGGCCCCAAACTATTGACTTAAGGTTTCTTAGTGGAGGAGCAGTTCTCTACCTGAAAACACTGCATCTTGGCCAAGGACTATAGCTCAAAATAGAACACTTGCCTAGCATGCATGAGGCCCAAGATTCAGTTCCCAGCACCACAAAACAAACAACAGACATGCACCAACAACAAAAGCTCTGCTTTTTAGGTCAATAGAGTTGTTTTCCCCTATGACAACAACAACAAAAAAACTTTAGAGCCTGGAGTATTGAGATTTTAAATTCACATATTTATTTTAGTGCATTAACAGAATAAGGTGCGTTTGTAATCTCTCCAAGTTTATAACATTTTCAGAATTGCACTATAAACAAAATATGCTCTTAACAACCACCTAGGGAGCTATACCTAAGAATAATATTCTTGCACATTTTATCAAGTGGAATAACTCTCTCTAGAGAAGAAAACAACAACCAGCAGGAAATGAGCTAAGTAGAGGGTATTTAACCAGAGTGGCCTATCTTTGAAAATGTAGTTAATTAGCAGCATTTCCTAGATGGAAATTATTTGGCATATTATCTTCTGGTACATAAGGTCTTTATTATGAAAGCTACCTCAACTATGACCCATTTGTTGTGAAAATGGTATTCACTGAGGATGATCAAACTGACATGATTTGCTCTGGATAGTCTAAAATTTGCTCTTGGATAAGGCAGACCATTTGGGAGTGGCGTATCGAGGTCATTTGCATAACTGCCTTTTCTGAAATATTTATGAAGTTATGATGTGGACTGAACTGAGGAAATTATATAATCATTACTGAGAATTTTATATCGTATTTATTGTGGAAATGACATTGAGAGTGCTATCTACTTTATCAGGAAGTCTGTTCTCTTGATTAAAAATATGAGATAAATTTCACTGATGTCTCAACCCACATGCCTCTGGTGAGCAGCTGGAGTCTGTTTCTTATGGCCCCTGGAAATCTTGTAACAGATTACAATTTGCTGTTTACTTTGGAGGCTGGGAACCTAAATAGGATTATTCAGCATACGTGTTGTTTCCCAGCCTCACTCACTGGCTTTATCTTTTTTTCTCATATTTCTTGAAATATGGTTGAAAACCTTTTGGAACAGGTTATAGCATAAATAAAGAAATAAACTAAAAGAAACAATTAATTCATCTCAGACAATAACTTCCTTGCATGATACCATGATTCTGCTTGTTTTTTATTTGGTTTCAGTTGCTTGTGGTACTGAATGTGGAACCCAGGGCCTTTTGTACAAGGCAAGTACTCTACAGCTGAGCTAGAAACACAGTTGCTGTTTTTAGGGTATTTGCCACTCCTTCTCTTCTTTGTTCTCAAGTGCATTTAATTTCAGCTGCACAGTGATTTGCCTGTACTCCTTGCCAGTGTGATCTTTCCAACTCTTGGCTTTTCTGAGCATGTCTGCTTGCCCCACCTTCGTTCATCAGGTTTGTTACATGTATGCTTATATGCCTACGTGTAATTGTACCTCTGAATCAGCATTGTGTGCGTTTTCTCTCCAAACCCTATTTGGTTCTTTTCTGATGATCTTTATTCTGGTGGTTTCCTAATCTTTTCTCCTGTAGTTATATTAGTTACTTGGCTCCCACTAAGTAATTGAATGAGCCTCCAAGGCAGCTTTGAGTTGTCTCCTGCTGTCACTGGGTTAGTGAGCTATAGATGTTTAATTTAATGTTTACTACTCAATTTAAAGTGTAATTAGGTTAGTAGCTTCCATTATACAGAGCCTAATATTCACATCCAGTTGTTTGGATTAAGCAAATATACTTATTATACTTAGATTGCAGTGTATAAAGCCTAATGTTACCACCTAGCTATGTAAATTAAGCAAATACACTTAAAAATGTGGGAATTTGTTTCTTGTCAGCCACTTACAATCCTTTTAGAACCATCATATGAGTATTTAAATATAGTGATAACTGCATATACATTCTGAATTATTAGCGTACGGATTAAAATAATCAAATGGTTGACCTTTTTATATTAATTATTATATACAGTTAAGAAGACTTCTGACTGCCAGTATGGTGGTTTATGCTTTTCATCCTAGCACTGAAGAGGCAGAGGCAGGGCCAGCCAGCCTGTTTTACATACTGAACTCCAGGCCAGTTGGAATTATATAGTGATAGCTACAACCAATGAATGATAAGGAAGGGAGAATCGGTTTTCTCTAGGGTTTAGCTCCCTGAGAGGTGTCTAATCCCAAGTGGACAGTCCTAAGCACATGAGTACCACTAAATGGAATCAATGAATTTTATACCCACATACACACACACACACACACACACACACACACACACACACACAAATTATGTATGTTTGGTTAGCAATAATATTCAAAGATGAGGAGGACAAGTAATTGGGAGGGAGTGGTGGGGACAAGAGTTGGAGCAGGATTGGATGGGTCCTGGAAAAGATAGAAAAAATGCAAATACAATACTCATGTATGAAATTCTCAAAAATAAAAAAAGAAGAAACAAAAAGAAGAAACTTAAAAGTTCTAGTGAAGATGTGACACAAATTAATTCTTTTGAATACATTTTGTTCAAACATTATATTACATCATCAATGAAGCCAGGACAGAGTGAATCAAGCACAGGGCCACAGATCAATGATTTAATTGTTAAATTTAAGATATTTTCCATCCCATTCCAAATCATCTTTATGATGTAAGAAAATAGTCATTTAACAATACTGGAAATATTCTATCACAGTAAAAATAAATGAATTTAGCTAAGTAAGGTTAAGATTATTGGGAAACTTCTCCACAGGCAGATAAAGATTTTCAGCAAATAACTGTGAAATTCCTAACCTAAAGAAAATATATATACCTTGCATTCTGCTTTCAAAGATACCATAATCAATAAAAATGAAAAATGTAAACCACAGTCCATTCTTTTAGGACAGTAGGAAACAGTGCAATCTCAAACCTCAATTGATCCAGAGATTTTTGGACACTGTGACAAAGCTAGGTGTAACAGAGGCAAGAAACTTGGAAGGCCATCATGTTTTATCAGCATTCATGAGCACTTAAACCCTCCCAGAGAATAATGAATTTTCTGTGGAGCAAGGTAAAGATATTTGCTTTTTATAATGTGATCTGGAAGAGGAAAAGAACTGCTCAAATATCCTTGGGTTGTGTTTTAAAAAGTAATGATTTTGCAGGCCTGAGCAAGGAAACCCACCATGCTGTTCTTGCCAACTGGCTACTGTCAACATGTCAGACTGTCATATGTCACACATGACAATTCTAAATAGAAATATTAATAACCAATTTAATTAGTTATCATAAAGTTTAGTCCACAGCCTAGAAAGATATATTAGTGGATGTAAGCACCTAACAACCTGCACATTTGAAAGTATATTCCCTTTTCAAAAGACTGGAGGGAAATATTAGACTCTGGACTATGGATTAAATTTGTCACAACTTGTGGAAGAGGATTCCTACACATACCAGAACACGCATATCTTCCTGGGAACCATTGATTTTAGCCAGATTTGAATAGAATTTTACCAGACTAGTAATTGATATGAACGTCTATCCAACATTTCTCTGGAAAGCCAAATATATTAAATAATGTATGGCATAAAACAGGAGTACCCCTGTTCAAACAGGAGATAACAGACTTAGAATGATGCTAGGAATGCAACTCAGTGGTGCGGTGGCCATCAGTGAGCACAGCCCTAATTTGAGGTTTCCTTATAAGCCGCTTCACTTCTGGGATGTTTCAGCTGTCCTGCAGAAATAAAGACCCTGATCTACATACTAAAGGCACATTTTCAGGCACGAGTGTGAAGTGTTCTGTCAGCAACACAAGAGATATTTATTGGAAGTAGTTGTGACTTTGGATAATACCTTCCCTTTGAATGCACTTTGTTTTATCACATTTTCTGAAGAAAATAATTAGCTAGAATTACAAGCCCAATGGAAGCATTGCCAACAGGTGTGGAAAACTCAGCCCAGGGAGTTCCTGACAGAATAAGACTGAATTTGGATTTGAAAATGATTTTTTGGTTAAAGCAAAAGAAGTAGATCTAGTCAGTCCTGGGAAAACTGCATAAAGCAAATACATCAGATACAAATACATAAGGGTAAATAATAAAGGCAAAAATAATCCAATAGCTTCTAGAAATGCAGGCACAATGACCTATTTGTCTCTAATTTCTGTTATTGATTTCGTTGTTTTATAGATATCAACAGAAATTCAATCACAGCATGTTAGATGGTATTTTTTTCAAACTTGGAAATTTTCTAATCCAACCTCTCTCATCTTCAAACTGAAAATTGTTAACCAGGAAGTTGTATTGCTGCTCAACAGAATCAATGTCTTTATGTGCAATTCTCACTTTGTCTTTGCATACCAAGCTGTTAAC